GCCAGATGCCCTGGAAAGGGCAGAAAACGAGTTCTTGTTAAACGCCATCATCGCCCGTGCCAAGGGCGAGATGAACATTGCGTTGCGGGTGCTGGAGATCGCGGAGGACTGATCATTGTACGCAACGTTTATCGTGTAACCTGGGTGTCCCAGGGAGCCGTGAAAACGTAAAAATAGCGGTAAAAATTAGGCTCTTCTGCAAATTTACGGTTTTACGCATAAAAACGTAAATGTAAAAGCGTAAACGTAAACGCAAAAACCTATCCTGGCTGGAACCGATTCACCTAATTTTTTGCAAGTATTCAATGTTTTATTTTCTCGTGTGCGCAGTATTTAGCAAATAATAACTCTGCATGCGTCTATTGCACTTAAATGTGCCAATAAATACGCACATTATCCAATTTTGTGGTTTGGTATTACTCGTTGCATGTGGTCACCGTTGAAATCAGACGTCTATTATATTTCCCACTTGTTGCCGCCCGATACTGCTCAGGGCAGCACCTCATTATAGGCGCATGACATCGGGGCACCGCGGTGTGAGCCTTGGGAATTCCTAACGCCTTCCCGGGAAGAGCACTATATTAAGGTAAGGGGTATATTGGAGGCTCAAATGTGGATGCATTATACGTAGCTGTGCAAATTTGCGTGTTGCTGGAATGTTGAGAATGGCAGAATGTTTGCCAAATTCCAAATGCTACAGCGCGGTCTGGGAAGCTGCAGCAGCACGATTCACTGAGTAATTGAGTAGTTCCTGATATCCGCGCTGGCCACTTGCGTCTGCTGACAGCATTCCCTTGTCGACTGGAAGCTCCCATATATATGGCCACGTAGGAGCTGACAGCCCTCCGCACATGTGCGGAGGGCGCCATTGCACTTGCCAGACGTGGCGCAGTGAATTTGCGGGGTCAGGGAGGATTCGCGAGGTGTACATACGTTTCGCCGTTCTTCCAAAGTTCTTCCACATTATTCCCGATACACTTCGTTCAACTTTGCAGGCAGGGCGCCGCCTCCAATCCTAATTTCGTTGCCATGACGAAGCCACCACGTTAAGTCAGTTGAAAATTTTTATGTGTAAAAGGGGAGAGAGATTCAGGACGATATTGAAAGTTTCATTAACGAACCCTTCATACGGCTGATAATCCACCTCCATTCGCCCCTTAGAAAAGGCGATGGAAATCACTTGAAATTCTCATTGCTGCGCTGCGTCTTATTGTACAGTGCAGAAACCTATCGCAATGCAAATTCTGCAAGGGCACAGCGACAAGGAAGAACTGTGCGTCTGCAAGCTCTCACCCCCCTGTGCGGCTCTGCTATTCCTATGACAAGAGCACAGGTGGCCAGTAAAAATCTCCCAGAGATATTACGTTTGTTAAATAGGATTTAGGTTCTTCCGTTTGAAGACGCGCTGTAGGCATCCAGTTAAAGGAGTGGAGGCGCGCGCAGATGGTGGATCGCAGTGGATGACATACTTTCGGGTTTTTAATCTAGTGCACGGCAATGTCATTTCAATTATTCGAATTATTTGCAGCTTGTGAATCATCAGCCAGGTGATCCTTTCGATGTAAAGCAATTGGAAGCTTAAAGTCAATCATGCAATCAGTCTCCACATATCTCCCTTGCAGAAAGATTTAAAATACCGTCGGTGCGCCGTCGACGCAGTGTGTTAAAATGCTGCAAATCGGCAGCTCTGGCATCGTGAGGTAGGAGGCGCACGCTGCCCAGGGCGTCCTGCAACGATTGCACTTTGTTTCTCATGACCACTCGTCATTTATTTGTCGTTCAGTGCGCTGTGCCCACCTCAGACCCGCTTATCGCCAACTCCATCACGCCAAATGTACCTTCCCGTACGCACAGGTTTGTTTATCGGCATCGCCTCCTGAACCCCGATATTTGCGGTGAACAGTCGACTGTTCAGTAACGTCACCGCCAGCCTTGGCGGACCTGTGCTGCTTGTGCGCTTCCCGTTGCAATAGACTGGCATCTTGTTGCGTCCACACTCTCGACTTCTGGCGACCGCAGCACTGAGCAACTGCGTCCCGCATTGCGCGGGTCCCGTCCGGTTGTACTAACACGTGTCTTGTCCCTTGGGGCAGGCTTCCTTCCCGCCATTTGTGCCTCATTACTGCGCCCGGCCCCCACCATTGCATGTCTTGGCAGCAACGGTACCTACCGGCTGCTTGTCGGTGTCACATCCTCCGCATCTGCCCCGCCCGCCACACTTACCTGTCTACCCGTTGGGGTCTTTTAAACATCGCATCCCCAAAACAGCGGCGGCGGTTCCATTCCCCTTAGGTTTCTTCCAGGCGCCATGCCAGCCATGCTCGTCATGTCCCCTATTCATATCACGGCCGGGTCACAGCCTATGGCCACTAGCCGTGCTGCTTGAGGATTTCAATGGGTCACGCAAGCGCCTCCACCGCCATGGATGCCACACCCACGACCCGTTGTGGCCACACTGATTGTCGATGATTTGGTGGAAATGCCCATTATATTGTGCTTTCTGCGCACACGAGATGGCAGAGGAGTGGATTACTGCATACGGCATTGATGCGAATGAAAAATTGCAACCATTTTCATTCAAGAGTCAGTCACCATGCCAATTTCGCAGCTCGCTGATACAGCACGTAACGGCCACGCGCGATGGCACCTGAACCGCCTGGATGGCAGCAATCCAGCCCATCAGTTGCGCATAATTTCAAACTCTGTAGGTCGGATGTGCCAAAAAAACGATGGAATCTCGCAGGCAATGTCCGCGGCTCCCTATATTCGACGGGTCGCAGCACCGGTTGCGCCGCGGGTCAGTCATTGAACGCTTGAGCGCCCGTCCAGCCAGGAAAGGGCGACAACGCGAATCGCTCAGCGAACAGGCAATACCCTGCGGCCTGCGTATCAAAGCTCGAACGGCTGTGTGGCGCACTTCCCCACCTTCGGCGCTGCAAGCAATGGCCCGTCTCGCGCTGTCAAAACAACGGCAAAGGGAAGGAAAGGCGCTGGAGCTCACCGCTTCGCAGCGGCGTGTCGTCCTGTTTGCTTCCAAGCACAGCTCCCAGATCCCGCCGCCTTGGAGCCGTTCTCTTTCCGTTGTCCGAAAGTCAACACTTGAGAGAAAGGGAAGGCCCGAGAGGTGGCCAGAATGCTGGCTCCAGGGGAATATCGTACCTGAAAACGCCAGCCGGGGTGGTGGCTCATTATTCGAATCGGCCGCACGTGGCGGTCCGGGTCAAATACGTGATGACATCGGTGGTTCTTAATTAAGTGTTCTTGATTACCTTATAAAGTAGCGTCTGCGGTCAAAGTGGAGCGCAGGGCACGTGCGTGGGGCGGGCGGCTGACACGCGCCTTGTCTGTGGTCAAGGTCACCCGGCGCGCCACTTGGCAGAGGCGACAAATGAAAAGGCGTCCAACATGCGGTGCACCGTCAGACGAGACTCCAATTCATTTGACAATACGTTTGCGCAAAAAAGGCATCTCTGGGACAGTCACACCCGATTAGCCAAATTTAATCGATTGGCATAAAATATTCAACTTTTCCGCATCAGAAGATTCACTGTTGCGCTGTTGCTCAGCTGTTTTTCAGAGCGTTGTTTTCATTTTTTCCACGTTGTTCCCCACAAGAAGGCCGCGTGGCAAATGCAAAAGGGTATGGTCCAAAACAGGCAGTCCGAATCGTTGCTCTCTTTTAAATGCATATATTTGGCTTTGGAAGTCAATTTTTAATAGTATCTAAATGGATCCTTTCGAAACCTTTGTTTTCAATACTCCCTGCTTGAGACCAGCTTAATGTGGACACCAGCAGCACTGCTATGTGTGTAACGCAAGCAATCACGAAAAATATGCACAAGTCCTGTGACCCACGCGTTGCGTGCATGGTACCAAGCCTATGGGCCAGAATGCCCCTCAGGAGCACCAGTGCTTCTAAGGCCCATAGGCCAACGTCGCTCGAGTTTTCTGATTTTTCGGATACCGCTATCATCTGTGCTAGAAGGTAGTAACGGAGGTGAGGTTATCTGGATTGGATTCTACGCGGCGCCACAGGTATGCCATGGTCATCCGCAATGTTGCAGAGACGTTTCTGATCCGAACGGATAACAAAAGTCTCAGGAACTTTGCGGACATCCAGGAATCAAGGACAATCGCGGAAGACTCCTAGACATCAGCGATGTTCCTCCAACTTCTTTCATTGGCTTAAAGCATCAGAAAAGTCTCAGGATCAGGTTTGTTATTTACGCTGTAAACACAGATTGTATTTATTTTTTTACGCGTTAAAATAGTTTTCACGTAAAAATACGTAAATATGACGTAAACACAGCCCCTTGTGCATAAGGACAGGACATACAGCCTTCGGGAGTCCGGGTATTGGCAGGCAGACGTGCTGGATTGGGCACAAAACGAACATTTGTTCCATGTCGTCGTGGCCCTTGTCGAGTGCGAAGTCGACGCTGTGTTGCGAGTGGTCGAAGGGGCGGAGGACTGATCATTGCACGCAACTTCTATTGTGTAATCTGCATGTCACAATGCGCCGTAAAGACATAAATACAGCTGTAAAAATAACCTCTTTTGCAAAATTACGTTTTTACACGTAAAAAATAAAAGTGAAAACGTGAACGCGAAAATGTTAACGTAAAAACGTGAGCATAAAACGTAAACGTAAATAGCAAGCCTGCTCAGGATCATCGCGGAATTCGGCAGAACACGAAATCAGCAACGCCAACTTTCACAATTGTCTGCCCATCCAGCTCATAGCTTTGAGTTGCTTGTGCTGTGTACGCACCCTTTCGCATCGGAGGCTCTATATCACAGCATAGAAAAGAGCATCGCATACACTTGCCTAGGAGGGGGAGCCCTTTGTATGGCCTGTTCCTCGTTTTTGCAATCCCACCACATTTTTGCCACCAGCCTTTTGCCCATCAATGCCTTGAGAAACCCCCGGCCCAAGACCGAACAAACCCACAAGCCCACCGCGCCTCACCGCCTTGTTTCTGCCGGGCCTCCCCCTCGCGATGAGCGCCGCCACGGCTCTGCGCCGCGGCGCGGCCGCCATCCCCTCCCTGGGCGCGCGCCAGGAGCTCGGCACCCTGGCAGATCGATTGCTCTCGTGCGCCTCGGCCGGCCCCTCGCACGCCGAGCCGATCAAAAATTTGGTGTCGATTTGCGTGCGGGGATGGGCGAGGGGCCTTGGGAGCGGGGGATGCATCGGCCGCGGGAGAGCGGGTGCATCGGGATTGTTGGCCCGAGCGCGTGGGGCAGTTCCAGGCGGTTGGGCAGGCGGGAGTGCGGGCGGGGTGGCTGTTGATCGGCGAGGTCGAACGGTGGGAGCAATGGGAGGTCCTTGTGGGCCGCTGGGAGGACTGCCGTTGGCCGATGATTCTGGTGTCGATGGGTGGCTGCGCGGTGGTCGTTTCATTTTCATGTGTTGAGCGATGATCGTTTTCGCGTCGGTGCCCTGGATACGTTCAATGTACGGGAATGCGTCCGCACGCAAGAGTTGTTGTCCTGGATGGTGTGTCCCCATGTGTCACCTTTTGGACCGCCGTCCATCCGTCTATTTCCTGGGCGCGCTCCTGGGCATGTTTCGCCACTGATTTCTTGTCCTTTTGCCGGTGAGTGTGTTGGATGGTTGATGGTAGTTTGTTTGCCGCTGACGACGTTGCCTCTGCCACGGCGATCTGCAGGCCCTGCCGTCCTTTGCTCGGCAGCTGGTGAGGGGCCTGAGCTCGAAACCTCCAAGAAAGGGTGAGCCGGAAGCTCATTGCATCGCACGATTCATGGCTGCAAGTGTTGCCAGCTTGTTTCCGCATTGGGCTCCTGAGCAACGGCTAAATGCTAAATTGCTATGTTCAAATCTTCCTTGCACACGATGATGGGCATGTGCGATCGGTGAGTTGTGGAGTTTGTTGTGGTTAATCAGATTCCATGGATAGTTAATAATAACACAGTGCTATTCTCTGTCCCTTGCAGTCAGCCAACTCTTCAGAACCTCGAACCTTATGCCTGAATGGGATACTGTCGTCCACCTGTGTGTTTTTGTCATGGACCACATTGTCAGCTCCCTGTTAATGCCACAATCTCTTTGCTGAAATTGTTATGTCTTGGCTGGTGTTGTGGGGCCTAAGCTGCTACTACAAAAGCAGTTACAACTTTCAGCAAAAAGTATGCAAAATTAGTTGGATGCTAGGCAGAATGAGTGTGTGCATCTTGAATATGAGCTCTTTAGTTGTTGAGGTTGGGGGTGAGGGTGTGGCAGCTGCTGAAAGGCATGCAGCAGCAAAGAATTTACAGCATATGTGGAAGCTATATTTGTCAGGGGGATTTGAAGAAACACTGCTCTTGCCACTGGCAATGTGATAGCAGGCAGAAATCCAACCAGGTTTACTTCCTACTGTGTTTCTGGATTGGTGATCCTGGGACACTGGGCAAACATGGATTGGGCTTCGTGTTCCTGTCATGTCCCGAACGGTCCAGGAGCTTGATTTGTTGTGGCTCTTTTGACAAATGCAACCCTTGGAATTTGTCAATGCTGAGATCATCGCTGAATGAGTTGCAGGCTGGGAAAAATTCTATCCAAAAGGGAAGCCCCAGCGATCCAAAGGGAATCAAAGTAAAGGTGAGACAACTGCCAGTATTGAATCGATACAAATCACCGCCTGTTCTGGGTCACCAGCTCGAACACGCATCCCTGTGTCAAGTTGCAGATACCTTGGCTGGCTATGCTGAAAACGAGCTGATGAGAACAAACATAGCGACGTCAAATGAGCTGAATGGCTACAACCAGGCCTCCCCATGGCAGCCAAACAATGGAAGTGTCGAATTTCCTGTTCAGTTCTTCATCAGTGAAGCACTACGATTATTCTTGGCCACCACTCATTCTTGATTTCAATTTTCTCTTTGGATATACACTGGACATTTTGTGCATTTTCTGGGTAATTTGGCAATATTTCCTGAAGTAAGCAAGCCTGCCCGGATGTAGCTGCCAGCGGTGTTTGCCCTTTGTACATGTTCTGTTCCAACGTTTTCCATCCCATTCAGGAGTCCACATGCCGCCCACAACCCAGCGGAACTGACACGGGTGTACCCGGGTTGACGATCGATGGTGTGGGCAGGCACTGAGAAGAACAGCCACAATCCTGATGGCATGCAGCCGGTCGCCCCCACCATGCAAAGTCTTATACTGACGGTTCTGCTGTCCACCGGCATGTTCCTTGCCACCATCGGGAGGCCTAATGCTCAGGAAATTAGTTTCCATCAGTTGAAGACCGACCTCCTGCAGACAAGCCTTGTTGAGCGCCTTGAGGTGGTGAACAAGGACATGGTAAAAGTCTACCTAAGGTAACACCTTTGGTTCTTGTTAGTTTTAGGTTGCGCCGGTGCATGTAGCATATTGCTGTTGTTGTTGCTTTCTTTTGCAGCATTTGCCAGTAGTTGTTAAGGTCATCGCTCTTGCACCAGTTAGGAGACTTGTGGATCTGCCTCAAACCTGTAGTTGAGTGTTTGCAGCAAACTGCTTTATTTCTTGCTCTGATTTGAAAGTGTAATGTAAAAGCAGCCATCGTCTTCCAGGTGCGAGGGCTTCGTTTGTCACTTTGGACACGGTATTTGAACAATTGAATTGATAATTTGACAATTCAAAAGACGTTTATGTTATCAAAAATAAAACCAAGAAAGTTGAGGTTCTGGTCAAGTACTAGTGGTGATCATGCACTTCTATTTGTTGATGTGCTTTGTGCTGGACCTTGGTTTGGGGGAGGCATTCAAGCATGTTGCAGTCTGCATATTCTGCACAAAGCCTCATGCCTGGCATCGCTCTACAAGAGCAGAGGCAGGGCTTGCCATGGTTTGGCCACTGTTTTACCTATGCCCAGACAATCACAGACAACGTTGGCCCCATTCAATGATTGCCTTCTAGTTTTGGGACCCATTGAATGTCTGCGAGCACAGGCTAACCTCCAATCTTGCAAATGGACAACAATTACAACACATGCCCTTTGGTTTCGTAAATGGTTTTGTATGACCCAGTGTTATCGATAGTCTGGTTCACACCTTGTGATCAATGATAAACACCGTTTGGGAACGAACAAATGCATCTGGTGTTTGGTTCGGAGCCCAGCGTCACCGATTCTGGTGCAAGTACATTGCTTTTTCCGATGACGAATGCAGTCAGCTGAAGGTAAAATGCCAATGTTTTGTTGCTTGTAGTCCATGCAAATTCACTATCATCAAAGCATACGCCTTCCTGTCCTGCAAATGGCCTTTGTGACTACACTCAAACGATTTGCTCACACCATAGGCGCAAGCCACGGCCAACACCGCAGGCTGAAGGGGAGATGGAATTCGAAGGCAGTGAGCCAGTGCAGACCCTCCCGGCAGTCTACAAGTTCTACTTCTACATCGGCAGCGTGGATTTGTTTGAACGCCAGCTGGAGGAGGCTCAGCTCAACCTGGGGCGCAAGCCGGAGGAATTTGTGCCAGTGACTTTTGTGACGCAGTGGAACATTGCGCAGGAGCTGCTTTCACTTGCACCAATGCTGCTTATCTTTGGCGCATTCATGTGGTTCAATCGGGGTTCGATGGGGGCCTTCACAGGCAGCGGCGGTGGCGGAAGGAACTTGTTCAATGTTGGCAAGGCACAGGTGTGTGGAAATGGAAGCAGCCGTTGCAGAATGGTAGCAACATAAATGTTAGAAAAGGAGAATGCCTATTGCGGTCCTCCACCCCCCTCCCCCCTCTCTTGAACAAAAATGTTGGCAAACCCCTGGCCCTGCTGTGAAGGACGATGGACGAGTTTCCAAGCGCAATAGGAAGGTTTGCAGCACCGAAAATTGCTTAGAACGGCGAGATAGGGGCTCAGGGGGTCAAAGCAGGGTTGTTTATTTCTTGTTCAAAGGCCTCCACATCATATGGGATGGACACACGCTGGCGAAGTTATTTTTCGATCCAGATCGTTGCATTACAGTAGATTCAGCCTATGCTTGTCATGGCTGTTGGGTAGCTGCAACCATGGCACAGACAAGCCAATATGCACATGATTAAATCAGCACTATGAACATAATTTGGTGATTAATCTTGAAATGGGAATGTCACAGGTCAAGGTGTTGGACAAGAACGCCAAGGACAAAGTCACCTTCAAAGATGTGGCTGGCTGCGACGAGGCCAAGGTGGAGATCATGGAGTTTGTAAGCTTCCTCAAGGCGCCCACAAAGTACAGGGAGCTGGGTGCCCGCATCCCAAAGGGCGCCCTCCTTGTTGGGCCCCCGGGTACCGGGAAGACCTTACTGGCGAAGGCCACTGCAGGGGAGGCAAACGTGCCATTCCTGAGCATCAGTGGGTCAGACTTCATCGAGATGTTTGTGGGCATCGGGCCCGCAAGGGTGCGGGACCTGTTTACACAGGCCAAGGCACAGAGCCCCTCAATCGTCTTCATTGGTATGTGACTGCGCTGAATAGCACACTTGCTGTGTCAGATCACCTTTATGGGCTATCTGGGTGCAGTACTACAGTATTGATTGTCGAATCTTATTCCCATTTCTCCTTAGTCAAGTGGAAGGCTTGTCAATGGGCAAGATGGAGAGGCATCTAGATGTTCAAGAGGTTGTGCCACCCCGCAATGAGCCAAGGATACCCCATGATGTGTTGAGCACAAGCTGTGGCCTCATATTCTAATGGTCGTTGAGTGGGGCTGCAATGCGGTTTGAAGGTTATTTTGGTTGCCCAGCAAGTGTTGCGAAGCACATTCATGGGCATGAGCTCATAGGCCACATTCCAGCAGGATGTGTGTTGGGTCGCCTTTCAGCGTGTGTAAATTGCCACTTGTGTCCCTGTAGTGTCCCCACAGCCAGCCTTGAGTTCCTGGCAGTCAATGGTGCCAAAATCCGCTCTGATTGTTGGCAATATATAAAGATGGAGCAAAAGAATGTGTGTTTGCAGTGCTGGGCACTGCTTAAAGGAACAGCTGCCTTGCCCCAGGTTTTTGGTGGTGCTTCTTTTGCACACAACAGCCCTAAGTACTGATTAGCTCTGATGGTTCCTCACAACACAGGAAGAATAAAAAAGAGTCTTTCTGCCAGGAAGGAGTTGACTGTGAAAAATGCACCATTGGCCTGTGCACACGAAGGGTCCCCTTGCAATGTCCTAATGTTCCCTCACTGTCCTCACTGTCTGGTGTGCGTGCAGATGAGATTGACGCGATTGGCAGGTCCCGCGGCCGCGGCGGCTTTGCTGGTTCCAACGACGAGCGCGAGAGCACCCTCAACCAGCTGCTGGTCGAGATGGACGGCTTCTCCTCATCCTCAGGCGTCGTTGTCCTGGCCGGCACAAACAGGCCGGACGTCCTTGACAAGGCGCTGCTGAGGGCAGGCCGCTTCGACCGTCAGATCAGCCTGGACAAGCCTGACATCAGGGGCAGGGAACAGATCTTCAGGGTTCACCTGGCAAAGATCAAGCTGTCCAGGCCCTTGGAGTACTTCTCGGAACGTCTGGGCGCCCTGACGCCCGGCTTTGCAGGTGACTGTCCATTGTAGTGCATTGTGCAGTACTCCTGTTGAGGTGGGCTGTAGTATATAAAGGCAACGTTAGTAATTGTTGATGATCGAGGCAATATGTTTGTTCATGTGTGACGATCATTGTGCATTGTGCAATTATAGCAGTGTAATGTGCTGATGCTGGCAGCCACAGATGCAAGATGTTCAATTGAGAATGTGTGTTTATCTGACCTCAAGGGGGAACGGTTTTGCAGGGGCAGACATTGCAAATGTGTGCAACGAGGCGGCGCTGATCGCAGCAAGGAGTGGGAAGTCAAGCGTTGACCTGTCTGACTTTGAAGCTGCAGTTGACAGGGTCATTGGTGGTCTGGAGAAGGCAAACAAGGTCATATCCAAGGTGGGCAATGATGTTGATTTCGGGGCTATCAGATTCCAGATTTGTAAAGAATGGAGATTATACAACTCAGTTTGTTGAATACTGCCCAGAACGTCTGCCTCCAAAGGAACTGTTTGTTTGCATTTCCACAAATGCAATTTCTTGCGCTTCCTGATCGCCACATGGTGCATCACCTTGTAACTAGCGATCATTGTTGGTCCCAACCTAACGCTCACAAGTTTGTCATGGAATCGCTATGCACTTCTCACAAATTGTCAAGCTGTTGACACCTAGTAGTAATAGCAAAGGCACAAAATCAACAGATACACAGCAATGGACTAAAGCAATAACATGCAGGTTGGTCATTAGTGAAAACTAATGTTTTGGTAGCTGTGAACTGTCAATAGATTGCTCGCAGTATAGAAATATGAGTATTGCACAGAGATAGAAATAGTTCAAGCGACAGGTCATGCTGAGGGTTCGCATCACCATCAGGAGGAACGCCGGACGGTCGCTTACCACGAGTCGGGCCACGCTGTCGTGAGCTGGTTCCTGGAACACGCAGAGCCGCTGATGAAGGTGTCCATTGTGCCCCGGGGCACTGCCGCCCTTGGCTTCGCGCAGTACCTGCCAAACGAAAACCTGCTGGCCACCACGGAGCAGCTGACGGATATGGCGTGCGTGGCCCTCGGGGGGCGGGCAGCCGAGGAAGTGCTGATTGGAAGGATATCCACAGGTGCGCTTTGTGGCGTCATAGAGTGCGCGTTGTTTAGAGTTTGATAGGTGCTGCAAGCGTTCAGCTGGTCCTCCACAAAGGAGTTTGGTCTTGCTGAAACTCTGAGCAGTTTTATATGTGCTTCTGGAAGTTTGGTTTTAGGTTTAGGGGGCACGGTCATGGCGTGCATCGTCCTTGGCAGCAGGAAGTGCAAGAGGTGCCGATGGGGGGCGATGCCTTCAAGTGGAAAAACCTGTTTCCCTCCTGCCCTTTTGCTGCAATCCCTGTCAGTAAGTAGTTCGGTTCAGTGGCGCAGGATGCGGCAACCAAAAGAGGGAAAAGTAGGTAGATGGGTTCGCAGGTGGGCATGCGTGCGTGCTGAAGTCACAGAATCCACAAGATTTTGTTGAATGCTGCGAGCTCATTTTTGGGCTGTAGGTTCTTTGGGCTGTTCGTGTTGGTGTAACTATGACAGGGGTTGGGGCTTTCAGCACAAAAACTGCGGTCCAGGGCAAAAGCCACAATGCTAGTCATATGGCCGCTGCCGATCTATCTGAATTGCTAACTGTGTAGCTATACATGCTGTGTTCGGGTGGCTTTCCCATGGTCATTGCGGGGTTTTGGCCTCGGGGACAGGCCCACGCAACAAACGGCGCTGATCTGCGGAATGTTGTCGAGTGGGCAGCGATTCTGGTTGTGCACTCTGGCGGGCCGAAATTGCCTGTTCACAGAACATCACCGTGGTCAATTGTGTGTTAATTGTACTGTTATTTTATTATATCAACCTTGTTGTTGGTGCAGTTTTCAACACTGCTTTCGTTGGCCGAAATTGCGCCGTCTGCCCAACACGCCTGCATTTAAATCATTAATCATTATATCATTGATTTCGATATTGAAATGGAGCTGGATCCCGCCCGCAGGTGCCCAGAATGACCTTGAACGTGTCACAAAGATGGCGCACGCTCAGGTGGGCATCTACGGCATGAACGGCAGGGTCGGCCTGGTGTCCTACCCGCAGGACGACAACGCCTTTTCCAGGCCCTACAGCGAGGCCACGGCGCAGCTGATGGACGAGGAGGTGAGGGCCCTCGTGGATAGGGCCTACGCGAGGACGGTGCAAATGGTGAAGGAAAAGAGGCACCTCGTGTCAAGCATGGCGGAGGCACTGTTGGAGAGGGAGGTGAGCGGTGTGCAGCATTTGCGTGGCAAACAAGGAGGCCCATTGTTTGTTTGCTTATGTATTTATTTGTTTGTTTATTTATTTATTTATTTGAATATACATTTATTTATTCATTTACGCATTGTCTTGTGTCTGCATATTATCGGCAAATTCAAAGCCTGCCATAGGTGTGCAAGTAATGCTTATGCAGCCAGGCATCTGAACTCGAACATCGCACGCAGGTGCTCAACCTGGAAGATGTCGAGGGCCTCTTGGGGCCCAGACCTTTCAAATCGGAGGAGCTGAGGAACATCGACAGATACAGGAAGGGCCTCCAGGCAGCAGCCCCCACCACCGAAGGTGCCGCAGGGCCACATTCCTCACAGCGCGCCCTGGACAACTCCAAGCCAAGCAGCGGGCCATCCACTGCAGAAGATTCCGGAGCCACAGATGTCGATCCAGAGGCGCCCACTGAAGTTGGTGAGCAGGTTGGGTGTGGGGATGGATCCGGGGCGGGATGCAGCGGGGTTGGGGCGGCGGGGGAGAGTGAAGCTGGCAGGTGTCAGGGAGGTAGGGGCAGGAGGACAGCCGCGTCGTGACCGGCGGGAGAAGGGGGGCTGACCTGGGGGCCAGGCGTCGGCACCGTGGCCTCCGGCAAATGGACTGCGCGATTGGCTCATTGGCAGCCCGAGCAGCGAACGTGGTCCGGCGATGCATTGTGGTGTGCTGGGCCTTGTTGCTGCTTACCGTCATGGCCAATTCGGTTGCGAGCTTTGGGATGTGCGTTAGGGAGATGTTCTCCGTGCGGCAATAATGGGGGCAGGTCCGTTTTGAGTTGTGAGTGGTGGCCACAGCCCACTGACAGTTGGCACTTGTGTGGACTTGCTGGAAACCCAAGCCAACCCAAGCACTTCTGTAAATCGTTTGCAGAGAATGGCGATTGTATATCAATTTTTGGTTCTGTATTTAAATCTTGTTGACTTGCTGAAAATCGTGCAATGGAGAATGGGCCAGCATCATGCTGCCGAAACCAGCTATTTGGCGCTTCCCTTGCAACATTTAAATCATCCGTAATTGGCTGCATTTAAATGCCATCAGCTGCGGATGAAAACAGTGGCTGCAGGGAAGCTGACAAGTCGCAGGACGAAGCAAAGCCCTTGTCAGAATTGGAGGTGTCTGGCACTGTCCCCGTCATCGCCAATGCACCTCCGAGGAGTGGGCTGACGAGGGATGCTTTCTGGCAAGCTGTTGCGAATGGCAATTTGGCTTCTAGCAAAGAGACAGGCGTTTTTTCGCAACTGCCAACAGTGTTCGTCCATAGGACCATCAAGGCAGTTCGCATAGGGTAGCGAGCTGCTGGAAATGGCTGAACGCTATGCGATGTGGTAGGAAGCGTTTTGTGCCTTAGAAGAAAGCACATATGGTGTAGTGACTAATACTAGGTTTCGTGCGCATGGGGGCCTGTCAATTTTTTGCAGTGGGGATGCATCAATGGGAGTGCGACTTAAACCGGCGCAGGGGGAAAATGCGGTTCACGCTGAAATATATGTAATTGAAATGGAAGTGGAAAGGATCCTGATTTGTCGCATCTGTCTTGATGCACCATTGATCTCAGTGGAACGTGCGGACGCATGACTTGGCTCTGGCTCCCTATCACATTCTTGGGCAATCACTCCAAGAGCTGGCAAAGGAACCTGTGCCAACTGGAAAGGCGACAGCTTGTAAGGCAACGCCTGCAGGCGGCCGTCAAAAGAGGACTCATCAGTGTCACCAGCAATCTTGCTTATCAACGTGAGGGGGCAGCCATCAGCTCCATATTCGTCCGACAAAGCCATGCCAATGGTTTTTGGATGAAAACCCATGACGTTCTGCAAAAGTTGAAACTCTTTTGGATGGTAAATTGATTCAGCATCATCGTCATGGCATCTTACATACGAAGTCGAATAGCTAGCCATCAGCTGCCTGTTTCTCCCCTTCGTTGCCAGTTGTATCAGTTCGCATTGGCAACATTACAATACAGGCGAGACAGTGAATATCGACGCAAGAGTGGATTAAAAGAACATTCGTGAACAGGGGCGATTGTAAAGCTGTGTTAACAGCCCCAAATCCAGCGCACTGCCGTGTACGGATCCTTTAGGCCCGGCAGGCGCCCCGTCGGGGACGTCGCGGCTTGGCCGGTCTGCCGTTGCCGACAGTCGGACCTGTGGCCCTACTGCCACCCTGTGCTGCGTTGACCACCGCGCCGAGAGGCAAAAACTGACCCAGTCCAAGCAGCACTGCCCCAAGCCTCCCAAGCACGACTCGCAGGCCCGAGATGTACGGCGGGTGAGTTGGGATTGTTAATCTAAGGTGGATCAACACCACCTGTAATCATCATCATTATCATCATCATCATCATCATCATCATCATCATCATCATCATCGCTCTATTTTACAGAACGAGGCAGTGAGGTAGCCGTCTGCTTCCTATTTCACCCTAGCAAAGCAGAGTCTGTGATCAGCTCATTTAAATATAGTGTTTAACACAAACCACATCTAAGATCAGCTGCCTCTCGCCCAGAAAGGCGGCCTCAAGGACACAGTGGGTGAGTGGGTGGGTGAGTGGGAGTGGGGCGCTATTTCTAAAGTTTTGAATGAGGGTGACGTTCGTGGATTCTGTGAAATGGGCAGTTTTTACTAGAATCCATGACCAGATCATGGACACTACTTTGCTCCGGCAGAATGGGACGGCTGCCTTATTGCGTTGTTATAAATAACACAACGACATTGATGGTGATGACGGCTGCCTCCTTGCAATGTTATGTAAAATGAACGATGACGAAGACAGTGATGACGAAGTAGGGAGCTCACGGTTACATCCTCGCCTTTGTATGTAAGACGTCATGATGACAATGATGATGACGACTTAACCTATCACCTAAAAGCATTTGAACTTTTGCAGCGACATCATCGATATGCAACATTTCTTGATGGCGACGTTTGCTGCAAGTATCTGGTGTGACAGGTTGCTGCAGAATTGGTCTGGGGTGGTCTCTCGTGATTGACCGCGGCAGACGCGTTGGGCAGCTTCCGTGGTTGGGTAGCCATGGATGGCGGCAAGGGTGAAATTGACGGAGGCACCGACGGCACGCAACCGGCAGATGCGGAGGTGAGCCGCTGAGTGAACTGTTGCCATTATCGACTGTTTGTTCCCGATCTTTTGCAGCTTGTTGATAGCCAACAAAATGGCCGTCAAGACATCTACGCAATCTTGACGATGCAATCGGGGCTCTGAGCTTCGGATTGGTGCTGCTTTGTGGAAAATCGCCGCGAGGAATATTCCTCTGTGTTGCTTGTGCACCTTTTTGCATGCTTGCATGCTTAATTGAGTTTTAAGTGCAACGAATAATCGAACACATAAAATAGCTACTTCGGTGTCCGCATACTCTGGCGAAGCTTCTTCCACCGGGAGGGAACTGCCACTGCCACCCCTCCCTCCTAACAGCGCCGCCTCTGATCTCAGAACCCTCCCGCTACTCCTACAGATGGGACTGCCCGGGAGCCTCCCCAAGACGGAGCCGGTGCCTCCAGTCCGGATGATGACGCCGGCGAAGGGGCCGCCGATTCGGTGGAAACTGCGCATCAGCCCCAGACGGACCCCGACGGTGAACGGTCGAACGCCGGCGGAGGTAAGGTCCGCTGGCTAGCAATTCCCATCCTGGCTGACCTCAATGTGGCTTGCGTCAATTAATAAACGCTATGGTGCTGTATGGATATATCAATGCAATGCAAATAATTCATTCGCTGAATTGTTGGTCAACAATACAAAGCAATAAATCAACGCAATCTTAGCCACTACGACATCTTAACAACAAGCATTGCGTCGATTTCTTGTCTTTTATTGTTGATTTATTAGCTTTCAAACCCAGTGAATCATAATCGCAGTCTAATAATGCAGACAGGGTATCATGAATTCCCTGCACATTATGGAAATGTTCCTGTGTTTCGTTCGTTTTAAATCGGCTTTATGTTACGTTGAATTGTTGATGGTCGCACGCTGGCGGCGTTCATGGCGTTGAAGTGGCGCAGCATGACGTCATTGCAACCGCCCGCATGCATCAAGATTTCTCAGCCGCAGTGCTTGCGAAATTGCGCGACTGCGAACCTGTGCACTTGCTGCCATTGTCACCTGACGGGTGGCAAAGCAATGCACAGCTGCATTGCTTCCCAAATGCAGACTGATACGTAGCGATGAATTGCTAAGCGTCACCCGTTGTGGCGTATCATTTCCTCAGTGCTTGTAGACTACAAGAACGGAGACTACAAGCTGTAGAAAGACAGTGCCATGAAAATACAGAAATTTACCTGCATTTCTCCTATTTTCCAGTGCGCTACTCCTCCACATTCTAGCCCTGCTCCCTCCCCAGCACCTGTCGATCTCCCACTTTCTTCTTTCTGTATGCCATTCCATTCCATCTATTTATTCACTCACTTATTTTCTTGTTGAGGCCGGACTTTTGCCCTCCCAATCCCCCGGCAGGTGCCAACAAGGGCAGGGCCGACGAAACCGTGAAGGCCGACGACGGCGAAATCGAAGACAGCAAAATCGACGACGGTGAAGTCGACGACGACAAAGCCGCAGAAGGGGAGGCAGATGACAGCGACATGTTTCCGTCGATGGAGGCCCTCAAGAGAGCCCCACAGCCGCACGTGTACCGCCCGTCCTCCGCGGAGATCGCCGTCATGATCGATGGCTTCGAGGACGACTTCAAGGTGATGGGTTCAGACGCTTTCCAGAAATTCTGGTGCAACAAAAGCACTCAGTACTGTAAAGTACTAAATACCATAAAGTACCAAGTAGTGCAAATCACAAAGAAGGGTTGAAGTATTGCTAAGCACTTATAAGTATTGCTTAGAGGTACTGCTAAGTACTGTAAATGGCTAAGCCTTGCGCCAGGTCTCCCGAAAACAAATTTGTCATCTGGGACGGCAGTTGGTGGATGCGGCATGGGTGACAGAGTGTTTTAGCACCGCGCTCAATGGCACATTTTACAACGGGTTAACTTGAGGGGGGAGAGCCGTAAATGCGCTTACGTTGCGGTTCTGATCTCATGCAATGTCCATTTAATTTGACTGGTATTTCTTTCGCTGCAGGTTTCATCAACCGTCACTTTCCAAGTTGTTGGAATGTGTCAAGAGGGCAAACGTTAGATGTTTTCCTCATGATAAGTGATGTGCTTACGTTATGTTACAACATAAATAAAACATAAGAATAGTTATTCCTGTGACAATTGAATGGCACTTATGATGGCACTATCATGACTCTGAAAGCAAGCAGGATTGCCCAAATTTCATTAGGGGACACCAGTGTATCCAGCTTCTGGATTGGTCATAGAACGCCTACCGCTACAGCTACGATCTATTTGATTTTTTTGGATTTTCAATGTAAGGTACATACTAAACTTCTGGTCTAGAATTTTTAATAATATGGATTTGTAATAAAACAATCAACCTTAATCTTTGCTGCTTTAGACCCCGGAGGAGTTTGTCGAGGCAGAAGAGGAAGAAGAAGATGAAGTCGAAGGGGAGCCCCTGGAGGAAGAGAAAGAATCGAATGCAC